ATAAATCGCATGCGATATTTAATGCGCATCTTGTCAGAAAGCCGGTTCTGTAATCAGCGGTAAATCTCCATCACGTGCGTGCTTTCACATTGAACAGCATTAACTACACAGAGCCGTTGTTCACTGACAAGCTGCGCAAAAAATCGCGCAAATATGAAAGTGGTTTTGCGCAGCTCGTCAGTGAACAACGGCATCGCATGCGATTTACCGTGCAGCCCTACTTTTAATGATAGCCAACATTACAGCCCCGCGTGCAATGCAGCTCGCAGTCACTGAACTTGTATGAGTTGATAAGGTAAAACTCCGGACAAGTTTTCTTGTGCGCACCCGTTTTTAACATGATTCCGATCCGATACCAGCGCAGTTTTTTTTTTTATCAATGTAGAATTTCTAAACTTCTGTGTGTTGACCTGTTCGGCACTCTTTTGTGTGTTAAACACAATCTACTAAATATAGAAAAATTCATTTGAATGAAAAATAACATGAAAAAATATATCATAATCTATGACAAAAATACTATTATGAACTAGGTTAGTGGATAATTTAGCAGTAAAAGTTATTCTAGAAAAATAATGAGTGCACAATTTTATAAAATCTAAACATTTAGTGAAATAACATTATTTAGTGGGGAACAAACATGTAAATGTATTTATTTATAATTAAATATAAACTATAAAATTAAAAGACATTTCTTTTAAATGTATAGCACAGTAATGAAGGCAGCAACATATGATAGATAGAGGAGTCCTATCTAGGGCTGCACGATATATCGTTTCAGCATCGATATCGCGAGCGACGATATTGCGATGTGCGCATCCGCGATAGTCACATCGCAGGGTGTGCGATGTTTAGTATACTGATCGAGCGCTTTGGGCCCTGTCCCAAATGGCACCCTAAACCCTTGCGGTCTTCCTCTGAGTCTGCACTTTCGTGACGTAATGCCGCTTTGACTGTCGGGTAGAAGTCTGCTGCGGAACTCGCCCCAGTATCAAGGGCTCATAACGGCCGCAAAGGGGGCGCTCGCGAGCACCCTTCTGAGCGCTATAAATGACGATTGGTACACCCTACGGTCTTGTGGACTTAACGGACATGCGCACGAGGCGGCCATTGTAAGTCCGTAAGACCGCAAGTGCACATGAAAGTGTTCCATTTTGAACAGGGCCTTGGAAAGAAATGGCACGACTGGCGTTTTCCCACGCGTTTTAGGCGCGACATGTGAACGGCCCCAAAATCTGTCTACACTGGACGCGACAAAGCGACCGTTGCCCATCATTTGAACTTTGTGTCAGTACGTCATAAAGAGAACGCGCCATCAGTTTACTGTCGGGATTTGTCGTGCCGTGCCGCATCCAGTGTAGACAGACAGCATCACTGATTATAATAGGTTCATTGTATTTTGTCGCGTCGCGCCACTCCGCTCGCGTCCGGTGTAGACGCGGTGAGAGCCACGCAGATGCACGTGAACACTAATTTCTGTTCACTTCTGCGTTTATTTGTGCCTGAAATACTGTGCTCTGCAAGTATCCTTGTAAACACAGTTGCTTATGGCTTAGGTGAGAAATACTGTGCTCTGCAAGTATCCTTGTAAACGCAGTTGCTGATGGCTTAGGTGAAGGCGAACAATTGAGAAAGAAAATGGATGTGTAACAGTATATTGGTTTACAGCAGTTTAATGTTCCTGAGGCTTTCTGTGTTATGAATGTTAATCAAACAATAAAACACAAAGAAAAATCACTTTTGTAGCTTTAACACAGATTTATTAGATTTAATTTATACAGTGAAGACTATGCAGTGTTATTTTACATTTGATTATTCAATTTCTGTACCTGAATATTGTTAGACTAACCTGAAAAATATAGGCTAAAGCACTGCTTATTTCATTTGTATCTTTGTTCTATGTATCTATGCTTGTAATTTGTTTATTTCCTATGCTGATTTACTCGCCTACAAAAGCACCCCAATCATTGATTATTTTTTTTCCCCAAATAAACTATTCAAGTCATGTGGTGATTTTTTTTTTTTCATATCGCAATATATATCGCAGAAAAATAAAGTATCGCAATGTGAGTTTTTTCCAATATCGTGCAGCCCTAACAGACACATATATTAGCGGAACCCTGTTTGTTTTAAACAATTGAGAAAGAAAATGGATGTGTAACAGTATATTGGTTTACAGCAGTTTAATGTTCCTGAGGCTTTCTGTGTTATGAATGTTAATCAAACAATAAAACACAAAGAAAAATCACTTTTGTAGCTTTAACAGATTTATTAGATTTAATTTATACAGTGAAGACTATGCAGTGTTATTTTACATTTGATTATTCAATTTCTGTACCTGAATATTGTTAGACTAACCTGAAAAATATAGGCTAAAGCACTGCTTATTTCATTTGTATCTTTGTTCTATGTATCTATGCTTGTAATTTGTTTATTTCCTATGCTGATTTACTCGCCTACAAAAGCACCCCAATCATTGATTATTTTTTCCCCCTAAATAAACTATTTAAGTTATGTGGTGATTTTTTTTTTCATATCGCAATATATATCGCAGAAAAATAAAATATCGCAATGTGAGTTTTTTCCAATATCGTGCAGCCCTAGTCCTATCTATCATATGTTGCTGCCTCCATTACTGTGCTATACATTAGATTATTTATAGCCTTTCTTTTTCTGTCATATCATAGGACAGAACAAGAAACGCTATAAATAATCTTTCATTGCACAAAAGTATTATAATACGAAAAGCTCCAATACAGAGCGGCACAAGGCGCTTATGCGTATCCCGTGCGCAGAATGAAGCGCTTGAAGCAACACGGAGTCACAGCGCGCAGCTCTGCATAGAGAAGTTCAAAGCACAAAGGAAAGAGATATTGATGCGTAGTGTATTATATCTGTGCGATAGTTTATTGAGCCTTTTCTTTTAACAGTTTTAAATTTCAGTTACTGTGCGCTCTTGAAGAGAGTTTCATTGTTTTGACTGTCGTAACCGAACGTGACCCGCAGTTTGAATGCTGAATGTAGGATGACTGACAGCTGCAGCGGAGAGAAGCGTTTACGTGAACTTGAATTTAACGACTTAAATATTAATCTGTACCTCACATTAAAGGGTTAGGTTAGTTCACCCAAAAATGAAAATTAGCCCATAAATTATTCCGTTTTTTTTTTTTTCTGGATTTTGTTGCTCCGTCTTTCAACAAAAGCTTTTTGGCGAATCCGGCAGGCACTGTACTCCTTCATGTTGTGGAAGCTGTCCTCAGTAAAATGCGCAGCACACAATAGCAAATTGGGGTTATAATGCTCAGGGACAGAGTTAAAAAATAAAT